GGGGGGGGGGGGGGGGGGGGGGGGCATCATTAAGAGTGCAGTGATGAACAATTACAATAAAATTACACACCAATTATTTAATGCAAACTGACAATCTCTCATCGCTCCCAATCGAATCCCAATTCATTCATATGCATAATTATGTGCATATTTATTCTTAGATTTACATTTCTATATTTTGCACACCGCTACTGCTTGTGAAGCTTGCACACAAGAATTTCACTCACATGTACTGTACCAGTGTCCCAGTAATGTGACGTGACAATAAAAGTGATATTTGATATATTTGACTTGATATTTGATCCGTCTCACCTCTGTTTGAGATTTGAGACTGTCTCGGCGAAGTGTTCTGCACCTCCATCTGCAAGGTCTGTCATGTACAACGAAACAGAATTTCTCTACGTTGCAAGGAAACACACAAAGCCTTTCTGTTGACCACCTGCCCGTTAACACTTAGACGAAAACCCACACAGGTAAACTTTTTCGAATCGCTTCTTTTGCTGGCTGACACGCACCGTCCCTGTCCACGGATGTCAGCACCACGTAATCCAGCCCCCAGTCAGCGATGGCCTCAGCGGTGTTGTAGGGCTCGTTGGGGTCGAGGGGGGGTGGCTTCCGTGCCGTCTTCACGGAGCAGAACCGGCAGCCCCTGGTGCACGTGTCTCCCATCAGCTGCACGGCGGACGGAAAAGGATGCAAAGATGCATTTTCACAGGCGCCTCTTCCACGACACTCATGTGCAGAGTAAGATTACGAGCTGAATAACTCCACTTCCTGATTGAACTGCCTCTGAAGGTCTCTAGGAATAACAGCAGATCCATGCTAGAACATTATCACAATTAACCAATAAATAATGAGCTAGTGGTAAAATTACCCATGACTTCTTATCTCTATTGCTAATATGTTTTATTTGCCATCTCATAAGAATGAACAGAGCAGGCAGGGATCCAGGTGTGGAGTCTGACAGCTGGAAAGTGGAGGTTGTGGGTGGACCAGGATTACGAACCATGATAGTGGCAGTAGCTGTGGAGTACTCTCCTCCTCCCCAGCATTCCCCGATGTTGGGACATCTAGCTTCCTCACACACCTTCAGACCACAGAGATACATTAAGCACTTCACTGGGGACTGTCCTTTAGTAAAACTACAATTAGCTACTTTGGATTACATTTCACCAGCCTAATGACATCCCTCGATTCTCCATAACTGCTTCTTTAGCTTTTGGATAGATTTATTGTTTGTCCAGGATCATATAATTCAAAAATCAGTCTACAATTTCTATTTTGTGGTCGTTTATCTCATCCTTAAGGTCACATATTCTGCCAAAATGTTTCACAACGTCATTTAAACCCAACAAAACACAGCTATACATAAATGAACGCGCAGAGGTGCTACTTTTTAGCAGAGTCCTGAACCATGACTCACCGTGTGAAGGTTAAGGTGCCGCAAAGTGTTTTTCAGCTTGTTGTAGTTCTTCCCTATGGGAATCTCTGTCTTCAGCCAAGGGGGCAGCCTGAGTCTGTCATGAGAGGATGCACAGGTGACACAGGGTTTCAGAACAATTTAAACACTTTTAAGCGATGTACTAACGTCGGCATTTATGCAAAAATAACTGAAACCGTCTATCGTGGACTCTGGGGATACTGCCAGACTTTCATGCATTCTTGATCCTTCTTGCAATATTCAGTTTGCACCTCCATCGCGCGTTACCTTTCCCCTTTCTGCCGCTTAAGGTCCCCCTTATATTGAGCCCACTGGCTCTTCTCTGACAGGTCTCCGGAAATGAAGTCCTGTAATTTGAGTCCATCCTCAGGTACTTTCTTCTTTTTGTCCGTCGGATTCAAGGGCGATTGTGCCGCAGTTGTAACTCCGTTGACACAAACCTATAATCATACAAATGATTTAAATGAATATCAGATTATAACACAAACAGGTAATGTACAGTTATGTAATATACACTACAGCATTGTCTACAATCAGGTCACTCTTATGTTACATACTGACATTATGGATAATTCAAATTATTTATGATAATAATCAAGTCCGGGCCCAAACCCATTACATTTCGTGAACTGTCTTAATAACTCGCATCATAATAATATAAGTAGAGACATACAGACTTACATGTTGAACGTCTTCACTCCTGAATTGTAAGCGCAGCAAAGTACACGAAAATCGACCAGCACCGAGAAAACTATTTTTCACCAACGCCATAACTACACGGACGGTTTGTCTTTGACAACGCTGCTATCTTAAATTGACTACTCACGCCTGTTAGCTTGATTTGTTAACTTACACAGATATCATGCAAAAAATATTTAAAATACACCATTTGAATAAGTATTGTAATGTAAGTAAAATACGTGTAATATGGATTTATTTAAGTTTTAAGCAGTAGAAGGCTGGATCCATTTGATCTTTTTTCGAATAGTTATGTCTGAAACTCATGGGCCACAGTTGATGACGTAACACGCCGACAACGTAGAACTGTGGGATGACGTCCTTCCTTCTTCCTTTCCTCAACTTCAGGCGAGGTAATGGTCGTTCTCTTCAGTTGAATGCTTCAAAATCTAACGTAATCCTCACTGTTTAAATGTACGTCGCGCTCAGATTTGCCTCTCTGGGCTTAAATAAACCCCAATAACCACCACGGTATATGTATTTGTGAACTAAAGAACAGGCACAAAGGTGATGTTTGTTCATCCATTTCTTGTAACCAGGCCGCAGGTCCCGCATCCCTACGTTCTTTGGTTCTGTGAATATATTATATATGCGTTGCGTGAGTTTAACGAATGTTATATCTACAGCAGCTAGCCAGTATGCACTTTGAATCGGACCGGTTAGCTTATTTTCTAATTGGCTTAACGCGCTGCTTCTCCCGTCTTTCGGTCGTGGAGACATTGCTTATCACGTATTTTTTTCCTCCTCCCGTCCCCAGAATGAAGACCATTCTCAGCAACCAGACAGTTGACATCCCCGACAACGGTATGTCCCCGAGTCCCCAGTAAATGCAGTAGCTCGGTGCCTGAAAATGTGGCATTTTTTTGTGTTTGGGGGCTTTAAAGAAACTTCCAAGTATTTCAGTCAGGAAAAAAGTATAACAGGCAATACCATGCAACTGGTCTAAGTCTGTAGCTGGATGATGCTGTGAGTTGATTTGCACGTTGCTGGGGCTGTATACAGAAATGCTTGGCAGGCTGTTGACGGCTCACGTCTTCTAAGCGATGTCATGCTTTGGCCCTTGTCTGAATGTGCAGTCGAAGTGACGTTGAAAGGCAGGACGGTGGTTGTCAAGGGGCCCCGCGGTGTGCTGCGCCGGGAATTCAACCACATTAACCTGGAACTCAGTCTCCTGGGCAGGAAGCGTAAGAAGGTAAGGCGGCCGCAGAGACTTGATCTCTCAGTCTTTTGGGGTTACGGTTGATTATTTTAGATACTGGTCTCACTGAGTTTCAGGTTTTGTAATCTGGGAGTGAGAACACCTGACGTATATGATATACCGTCTTATTCCTTACCCTCAAAATAACTGAGCTTTAAGATTTCCTCCTGGTTGTGTTGTAGTTGCGTCGTTTGTTTTGATTGTACCTGCTTGAGGTGCGGTCTATTTCCCCGGGAGATTTTGTGTGATGCACCTTTCTGAGCGCTGCGCGTTATGTTCTCAGCTCCGTGTCGATAAATGGTGGGGTAACAGGAAGGAGCTGGCCACCGTGCGCACCATCTGCAGCCACGTCCAGAACATGATCAAGGGGGTGACCCTGGTGAGTGGCCTGCGCTTTGGCTATTGCCGTCCAGGATGAGACCAACGCCGACAGGCTAATTTCCCCCTCTGTCTTTCCAGGGCTTCCGCTACAAGATGAGATCTGTGTATGCTCACTTCCCCATCAACGTGGTGATGCAGGAGAACGGCACCCTGGTGGAGATCAGGAACTTCCTGGGGGAGAAGTACATCCGACGGGTCCGCATGAGGCCAGGTGAGCCGTCCTGTGTTGTGTGAAACGACGTCGTCTTGCCTGGCATTTCAGGGGCTCCGTGCTAATGTCTCGGTCCCAATCCCCTTCCCTCAGGTGTGACCTGCACAGTGTCAGCAGCCCAGAAGGACGAGCTGGTTCTGGAGGGTAATGACATTGAGCTGGTGTCCAACTCATGTGAGTAACCCCCCTCCCCTCCAAAGAGTCGGTAGTCAAGTAGTAGGTCTAAATGATCAAATGGTCATGTGTGATGGCTGATGCGGGGAACTTGCGGTTTGTTCGAGAATTATTTCGAATGAACATTTAAAAACCTTTTGTAGTGCCGAGTATTGACTATCATTATGTCATGTCGAAGAGGGATAAAGTAAAATTTGCTTAAAATTTAGCTGTTGGCGAGACCTAGTGTTTGAGGGTTATGTACCACGTCTGATGCACACAGGTCTGTCCTGATTTCATACTAAGTGACCCTTCTGTTTGAAAACTGCTCAGTGTTAAATGATGGTTGTCCTTCCTAAGGACCCTCCCAGCTGCTCCGCTTATGACCGTGACACGCTACCGTAAAGTAATCAAGGCGTATCATTTGAATGCCTGCCAAAGCTGGTCATTAGGGTCTCCCATGATTTTCTTGAAATCTTTTTCTGGGGAATAGGCATTTCTTTCCCATTAAGGCTCTGTTCACACAGCTGCATTCTGGGTCATTTGAAAGCTGTAGACTAAGGTCTTAATTTTAATGCACCCATAGTAACACTTGAGACACCACTGATGTGTGTCGTGTGTGCGATCCTTGGGTTTCTATGGGTTGTGATTGTAGGTTGGTGTGAACAGACCCTTATGGTATCTGACATTCCTGTATTATGATTGTGAATTTTTTCCCCCCCTCTGCTGGCTTGTGTCCTTTTGCAGTATTCTAGTAAACTATTTCCTTGTTTAGTTCTATATTAAATGTGTGCAGAACCCAATTAGAGGACCTGCACAGGGTGACGTCCTCTGCATGTGACTGGATGCGCCCCTGAGGATCTAGTCATGTTCCTTATGTTCTGTCAGCCCACCCCCTCCCCCCTCCCATTTGGCCCTGTTTGGCCCATGTTTGTGCCCTGGTGCAGAATCCAGTTAAGTCTCTGCTAACTGGAGACTGCAGATGGCTGTCCATTAAACATACTGCCTGCCCTGTTCCTGCATTCAGGATCGTGTTCTCTAATCATGTTCCTTTAGTCTGATTCCTCAAGCCTACGAGCCTCCCGGCAATCATGGCCGCCGTACCCGGATTGCAGTGTTGCCCCCCCCCACCCCCCACACTTGCCCCTCTGCTCTGCCCCTGCCCTGTGATTTTTGCGACTGTGTTGATTCTGAGCTCTGTTTGCATGTAGCAGCTCATCACCGCAGCCTCTCTCTTGCAGCCGCCCTCATCCAACAGGCAACCACAGTCAAAAATAAGGATATCAGGAAATTCTTGGACGGTATTTACGTGTCCGAGAAGGGAACTGTTTTGGACCCGGATCAGTGAGCAGTGTAGAGGTTAGAATGCTTTACTGCCGAAAAGGGCCTTTCTGTGACTGTTCGTCCGACGTTCTGCGGGGAATCCCCCTCAGATCCGTCCTGTGTTGTCACTCGATGTGTTCCAGAAAATTGACATGCGGCACAAGGTGGTTTTAGTTAAAGGTGGTCACACACCAGGAGGGAATTGTGGGATACATCCCGCAATTAACCAAATGGTGTCTTAGGCTCACTTAAAAGGAAGAAAGTATTTCATGTGCATGTTGCCTCTGTGGTTCAGTTTAAGTTCCATGCATGTTTAACCGTTTGGATCCTCACCCTCACTTACAAAAATATTTAATTTATATACTGTGTACTTGTGTATTGAGTTTAAATGATCTGGTGTTGGGTGATAGAACCTGGGGCCCCATAGCGTAGCAGGTTCGAGGGCCTTCGGGCCTGTCGCCACCTTGTGGTTGCATGGTGCCTCTTCTTGGTCTCACTCTGCTCCTCTTGCTTTGCAGCTGCCCTCATCCAGCAGGCCACGACTGTGAGGAAGAAGGATATCCGCAAGTTCCTGGACGGTATCTATGTCAGCGAGAAGAGCACTGTCGTGGAGCAGCAGGAAGCTTAAGCCTTTAACCTGTCAATAATAAATTACTTTATACCACAGTCATGATCTCTGTGTCTTTTACCCTGTCCTTGCGGTTTGTGAGCTCATGGCAGATGTGAATGCACATCATGCTGGATATCTTGGAAGTATCATGACTATGGAGTGGTGGTTGTTTCAAGGGAGAGTTGTTTTGGATGCAGTACTGGACAGCTCTATCAGCTGTAGTTAATATACGTGCAGGACACGACAATCATATCGTGCAGTAAATGAATCTTTGATCTACTGAAAGCCCAGTGCAAGTCAACATGGCACAAAAAACAGCAAATGTAACCAGTGAAAGTCGTGTTCTCGATGTGCTGTGATCGGATAGATATCTTACTAGCTCCCGGAGGGAAACTAGGGATCACTGATTGCAGCTTGACGACTTAAGTTTACATTTTTGGTAGAGAATAAAGTTTTTTGTACAGGCTTAGTCGAGGCAGTATAAAGTGGATTTGGACTAAATTGATTAAATTAATTTGAAATTTATGAGTCGGTCCAGTCTGCACACGGTCCGGCTGGACCAGTTCATGCAGGTACTGACATTAACAATGAAGCTACCCACTCGACATCTCAGGTCTGATGCTGGGGCGCCAACTTCGGTCAGCTGGCTGGAGCGAGATTTTCAGTTCGAGACAAGTCTGCAGACAAGCACGTGCACCTGCGTGCATGTAACAATGCATGTAAATATTACCTCGCGATTCGTCTGTATGGTTTGCAAACTAGCACAAAGATTTCGATGTAGCTAATTTTAGATGCATAATAGAATAATATAGACCTACCGTAATATTTCTCGGGTGAGCGCCTGAAAGTTGTCACGCCAGACGCTCCCGGTGTCAGTGCGGCTGCGAGTTGCGTCATTACGCGGCGCCGCGCGCGACTCGCGTTGGCGCCAAGCGCGCGGGGAGTGTAGCGGCTCCGTGAGTCCGTGTGCCTCCGATCGTCCGTCCGCCCGCTGCATCATGGTGAGCCGCTTTTGGGGGCCTCTTCAAACGGCCATGCCGCGTCCGGATTGAGTCGTTATGCGGGTGAAACGAAGTGATAAGCAATTAGCCTGCTAGTTAAGTGTCAGTGTTAACTGCGTGCCAGCCGTTGCGCAAAGTTAGCCCGTCGTTTATCCTTAGCACTTGTATACATATCAAGTCATGGCTGCCCCCCTCCGTTTTCAGTTCTTGGCTTAGCAACATAAAGTTAGGCATGTTTTTCGACCCGCACCGTCTTAATTGGGCTCCAGATGCAGTAACGTTATAAATACGCCTTGCATTTTGTGTTTCTGCGGCCTAGCGACGAGGATTAGGTCCATAATAATTGCCAAGTTTTAGCAATAAGTTTTAGTCGCTGATGGTGAGCTTCGGCGGGGTATTAGTAATTAGTAATACTAATAAAGCCTGAAATCAAACCGGCCACTGTACTGGCAGATTATTTTTCGAACAACAGAGAACATGATTCTTTCTGCACGTTTTGCATTTAATGGAATTGTTAATATGTAAGACATGCTGTGTCTTGCTGTTTTCCTCTCATGCTGTTTCTGTTGCTCAGTCCACATAATCAGACCAAGAGCCTTTTCTGTGGGTCCCCCCATGATTCATGGCCGGCTCAGTCCGGTCCTCTGATCAGTCCCTCTTTGCCCTGTCCAGGACATCCGGAGGTTCTTTGCGCCCAGTAAGCCGGTGGTGCAGAAACCTGCCCAGAACGGAGGCGTCAGAAGCGTTGAGGACCAGAAGAGGAATAAAGCGAAGCCTGGCTCAAAGGCAAGCTGGGACAGGCCCTCTGTTTCCTTCAGCCTCCCAGACACGATGCTTTTCTTATTCTGCAATACAGTTCTGTTTTGCTTGCAGTCTGTGAGGTGTCGTGGTATCAAGCCGCAATTTCAATAATGTTTTGAAAAATAATTCATGCTCCTTTGTGTTTTTCCATCTTCGTTTTGCTTTCTGGCACTTGCCAGGCTGTCATTGTAAATAAGAAACTGTTTTTAATGCTTTGCCTGGTAAAATAAAGCTTAATGAATGAATGAATTATGACCATTTTTATTTCATTTTAATAGACTAAAAGCCCTGAAACAGTGGAGAAGTCATCAGTGAAACGAAAGAAACGTGCGGTCCTGCACTCCGGTGAGCTGTCCTTCCCCTCTAAATGTCATTCATCATGGCTGCCTTGGCAGACGGACTCGTCATTTCGGCATGTGATCCTTTTAGACTCAGAAGAGGAAGAGGTGGAGAAGAAACCCAAGAAATCCCCCCAGGAAACTCAGAAGCCCGCCAAGGGTGCACCCCCCCCGAAGAAACACCCGGTTCAGTACGTCTCAGAAACCGGTGAGGGACTCGGTGCGATGGAGCCAGCCGGCTTGCGTGGCCTGTCCCGTTCGTCTTGAAACCGAGGGTCTGTGCGTGTTCCGGGTGGAGAGAAGCCGTTTTCGCTGCCTGCTCTGGCAGGGCCCAGAACCTGCAGCTGTGCAGCTCAACGCAGACAGGATGTCACTGTCGGCTGGTGCGAGGCGGGCTCTAGATTTGGGTTTCGTTTCTCTGCTCTGCAGCTGGGAGCAGCAGCTTGTCGACTTCCTCCAGTCAGGCATCTACGCGTAAACGGCTTTTCTACCATTCACCTGCACAGTAGTACAACATGCTGGTACAACACTGTCTGTGGTCATTTGTTTCGTAGCTGAAATTCTTTCTTTGTCTCATTTGTTGGTAGATTCAGACAGTGACACTTTCGTGTCCCTGAAGAAACCGACTAAATCTGACGACAATGGGCTGTCCAAGTCGGCCGCAGCAGGTCCGGATAAGAAGGCGACCTCTGCCGTCAGCTCCCCCCCAAAACCGTCTTGCAGGAAGGGCAAGGTCAAATCGCCCCCTACCCCAGCCACCCCCAAAGCAGCCGCCTCCCTTCCCAAGCAGACCCACACCTCTGTACTGGACTTTTTTGGCAGCAGCAGCATCCAGAGGTCGGATAAAAAGTTAGTGGCCAGCACCAAGCGGAAAGCTGTGAGTCATCAGCCCACCCATCGCTGTTCATTAGTGGAAATCAATTCTGTCATGTAGGACTGCATGATATCATATTGCAATTATATAACGCATGTGCAGTAATCACCAGAGCTTTAAATGACAGGCATCAACGTTTGTCCAGACGCCAGCGTTTCAGCGCTGTACGGACATTTGTTTACACCCACGATTTGGTAAGCAGATCAGAAGTACGGCTAAAACATTAATGAGATGCATATTGTGATGCCCAAAAGTAATCTGTATAAATTTGTAGTATCTTTTTATGTTTAACAAACATGCAAAGTACCGCCACACCACCACCTTGTTTATCCACAATATCTCCTCTTTTCAAAGATGTTGTGGCCGCTGATCTGTTCCCTTTCTTCACTGCTCCTTCGGCGCTTATCGCTCCCATGATTTGCCAAAACGGTCGCATGTGGCGTGCCCCTCGAACTGAATTTAATAAGCATAAGGATACGCCGAACTTATACAGTTTACTAACTTTTGGGCATCACAATACGCATCTCATTAATATTTTAGACATACTACTAATCTGATTACCAAATCGTGGGTGGATGTAAACGTCCATATAGTACCGAAGAGCCGGCATCTGGACAGATGTTCACTCCCGTCATCGAAAGCCCTGGTGATTATTGAGCATTGAGGCAAATGATCGCGATATCGTGCAGCCCTACTGTCATGCAGCTTTGTCGGATTTGCGGGTATAGACGGCCAACCTTACTGCTAGTACAGTTGGTCACCATAACATCCTTTCCTAGGCCACACAGGATATGGATGACTCCCAGAGTGATGAGGCCATCGCCAGACAGCTGCAGATGGATGAAGATGTAAGTTTGCAGCTCTGATAAGGATCTTAACGTCGTTTAGGTTGCTTTTGGGTTCCCTCTCAGGCATCTGTCTGATTCTGCTCCTCCTGTAGCTGGAGAAACAGCTGCACGATGATGAAGAGTTTGCAAGGACGTTGGCCATGTTGGATGAGGCCCCTCAGCCCAAAAAGGTGAGAGCAGTCATGCTTTATGGGGTCAGCATATCAAACACTTAAGCTTTTTGTTGGTCCCTAAACTAGTAGCTTGGGTCTATGTTGCTAAGACGCATTGCAGTTGAGGTTGTGGTCATGTGACCATGCCATTGTACCCTTAGGCTCGCAGAGAATCTGGTTCACCCAGCAAGAGCAGCACGGGCCCGGCCCAACTCAGCATCAAGATTTCTCCAGGTGAACCCGCAAACTTCCCAAGTGTCTGGCATTTGGCTCATTTTCTTACCTCATCATTGTCTGCTGTGCAGTGGTGGAAAAGGGCCCAGGGGTGATTTGAACTTCTGTCTTTACACCTTCCAGTCTCTGGTTCCCAGTCCCGTGCCAACAGCAAGGCCGGTGCCAAGGGTCCGTCCTCAAAGAAGAGCCCCGTCAAGACGAGCTCCAAGCTGGCCAGCATGAAAAGGAAGGAAGAAGAAAATGCCAGAAAGAAGCATGAGGGGGCTACCAAGATGGTCATTTCGCCAAAGAAGGAGCCCCCAAGAACATCCACTTCAGAGACACAGAATGTTGCCAAATCGGGAATGCCCTCGACCGCCAAGAGCGAGCCCGTGACCACGCCCGTCAGCAAGAAGATCTCCCCTAAGAAGGCAGAGGTAAAATCTGCCAGGATTTCCTTTTTTCCCCCGTGTTTGACACCGATCTTAATTCATTTAATTTGACCCTCATCAGAGTGTCAGCCCAGAAGACGCAGAGAAGAAGCGCGTAAATTCGTCAGCATACCGGAACTACCTGAACAGAGAAGGCCCTCGTGCCCTGGGCTCCAAAGAGATCCCTCAGGTGATAAACTGCGTCAGCTGAGTATGTAGGCTGCTCCTGTCTTGGCTAGTATAATATTTGTTTCTGAACAGGTTCTTGATTTGATAGATCATTAGTCCACTCTTTCCAGCTCTCATTGGTAATAGAAGCAGACACAGGGTATTGAGTAGTCCTCCTTTTGGTCTCCGTCTGGTTGATGGGGTTGAGCAGCACCCCCCCAGTAAGAGCAGAAACACTGTGAAGGGTTCAGGAGCGGTGACCCAGGTGTCGGTGGGGCCCAGGGTGCAGAGAACTGTCTGGAGGGCCTGACCTTCGTGGTGACGGGCGTGATGGAGTCCATGGAGAGAGATGACGCAAAGTCCCTCATCGAGCGCTATGGCGGCAAGGTCACGGGCAACGTCAGCCGCAAGACGAGCTACCTGGTGCTGGGCAGAGACAGTGGGGCCTCCAAGACGGAGAAGGTCAGCCTCCATGTCTGCTGCTGCTTTCTCCTTGCGTGCTTTTGAGTTCGTTCCATTACTTTTGAGTTCACAGACCTGGGTTTAGGCCTCTTGTCTTTTTTATGGTTCAGGCTGAAAGTTTTGGCACAAAGATCATAAATGAAGATGGTTTGCTGGATCTCATACGGACCAAACCGGGCAAGAAGTCTAAGTATGAGATTGCTGCTGAGGTTGAGGTGAGAGTCGTACGGCTGACAGGTGAAGTCTGCTCTTGGGGGCCGAGCCGACCGCTTTTCCTGTTTTTATCCAAAGAACAAGAAGACCCCTGAGCCCTCCAGGACGAGAAGGACCCCACAGAAGACCAGTCCCAGAAAGCAAACCCCAGCCAAGAAGACGCCATCTTCTAGGAAGTCACCCAGGGGCAAGGCAGCCACACCTAAACAAGAGCCTTCGTCAAGTGGCAGCCTTGGGGCCGGTGCCAGAGAGGCCAGGAAGGGCCTGTCCTTCGATACGGCGGAGCGGCACGGTGCCTCAACCACGACAGCAGCACCGGTGCCAGATACCGAAGGGTCCAGTCTTCTGTGGGTGGACAAGTACAGGCCACACACCTTGAAAGGCCTCATCGGGCAACAGGGTGAACAAAGCTGTGCCAACAAGCTGCTGCGCTGGCTCCAGAACTGGCACACTGGCAACACAAAGCCTGCTGGTACGTTGAGGCTCATTCATGGTTGAGGGGCGCATTGAAGTCCTGGTATTCACGCCGAGAGCTATTGGAGCCGATAATGTGTGTGTGCTCACACAGCGGCCCGGTTCGGCAAGTTCGGGGGAAAGGACGATGGCTCCGGGTTCAAGGCAGCGCTGCTCTCGGGACCCCCTGGGGTGGGAAAGACCACTACGGCCGCCCTGGTCTGTGAGGTCAGTCTTGCTCATCTGTAGCGTAGAGTATCAACTTCGTATCTGATGTGAATGTTAATGGTCATTCGTAGATGTGGTTTCTTCTGAGTCCGTCTCATCATTACATATTTTTGACGTATGATGCAGGAACTTGGCTACAGCTATGTGGAGATGAACGCTAGCTGTACCCGGAGCAAGAACAACCTGAAGGAGGTCGTTGCTGAGTCCCTCAACAACACTAGTATCAAGAGCTTCTACTCAGGTACCCCTAGGGGAATTAGATGGTCTGGTTTGAAGCCCCAGACCCCTGCTGCAGGAGCAGCTCGGATTATCCATGCTGAACTGTCTGGCCTCCCTTTGCCAGGTGCCTCTCAGACTGTGAGCAGCAAGCATGTGCTCATCATGGACGAGGTGGACGGCATGGCAGGCAACGAGGACAGGGGCGGTATCCAGGTAGCCCCATTCCGGTCGCTGGGCATGGTGGTGGGTGGGTGTGTGTTTTTGCTCATTATTCTCACCTTCTGCTTTGTTTGCTCCTCCACAGGAGATGATTAGCCTGATAAAGCAGTCAAAGATCCCCATCATCTGCATGTGTAATGACAGGAACCACCAGAAGATCCGCTCCCTGGCCAACTACTGCTTCGACCTGCGCTTCCAGAGACCCCGTCTAGAGCAGATCAAGGTAGTAGCCTAGGGGAGACCCCAGCCTCACCCACTGTGAGTGCTTATTCTGAGTGCTTGTGCACCTTTAACTGCTAGTAACTTTTTTTTTTAGCAGATAAACCTTGGACCTTTACAGTTTCTGTAGTCTTCAACCTTTGTAGTTCCCCACTGGGTGTTAGTGATGAGTAGTAACTGTTAGCCATGAATGTGCGTCAACCAGTAGCTGCTGCTTCCCCTCAGGGAGCCATGATGTCCATCGCCTACAAGGAAGGCCTCAAGGTCCCAGCACCAGCTCTCAATGAGCTCATCTTGGCGTCCAACCAAGACATCAGACAGGTAGCCTTCCAGTTGGGAAGGACTAAAAAACCTAAAATGATGAAAGACGCCAAACTAACTTTTGGTTTCGACCACAATTTCCCAGATTCTCCACAACCTGAGTATGTGGTCGGCCAAAGACAAAGTCATGACCTATGATCAGGTCAAAGCCGACGCAAAGAATGCCAGGAAGGACATGAAGCTGGTACGTTTCACTTGTGCATGTAGGGGATATTGTCCGATGTCAGTGTCATTTCTATAACTGATGGGATTTGCAGAATAGAAAGTACCAGGTGCTGATTTCTACATCCCAAGCCAGCTCACACTCCCACTATTTCCAGGGCCCGTTTGATGTCTGTCGGAAGGTCTTCTCTGCTGGAAACGAGACTGCTCAAATGTCCCTGATGGACAAATCCGACCTTTTCTTCCACGATTACTCATTAGCGCCCCTGTTTGTCCAGGAGAACTACCTGCACGTCCGTCCGGCCGCAGCAGGGTGAGCATTGGTGGGAAGGGTGGTCCTGCTGGTACGCGGATGAGGTCGCATGTGTAAACGTGCCTCTTCTGTTTTCAGCAGTAACCTGAAGTGTCATCTGGTGCTCTTGAGCAAAACCGCAGACAGCATCTGTGATGGAGATCTGGTGGATCGGCAGATCCGATCCCGTCAGACCTGGTCTCTGCTGCCCACGCAGGTCAGACAGCACGGTGCACAACAAGGGTTATAATCGACACCTCCAGTATCATTTACCTTGCATTTCGTGTATTGATAGGTTTGTTTAAAAATTTGTGCTGCAGGCCATCTACGCCAGCGTGCTTCCAGGGGAGCTGATGAGGGGCTACATGAGCCAATTCCCCACCTTCCCCAGCTGGCTGGGCAAGTTCTCCTCCACGGGCAAACACAACCGCACCATCCAGGAGCTGGCATCACACATGAGTCTCAGGTCTGCACTCTCTCTCTCTTTTCTCCCTGCCGGGCTCTATGCCATCGCTTGAAATTCAAGCCTAGCATCCAGCTCATTGGCGTTTGACTTGCACAAAAATGTTCTGAAGGAAAAATGATTGGCACCCTCTCTGAACCAATCAGATTGTAGCGTAGGTGGATCAAAATCTGATTGGTTGGTCCTGCTTCATCCAGTTGCTTGGGCCCACTCCCTCTACAAGCCGATTGGTTATCAAACTCCCGTAAGCTAAAATCCTCTTTCTCTGTTAGGGCGCATGTCAGTAAGCAAGCCATCAACCTGGATTACTTGCCCTACCTGCGCTCTGCCCTGCTGGAGCCCTTGCAGAGGTACGGAGCGGACGGCGCCACCAAGGCCGTGCAGCTCATGAACGACTACGACATCATCAAGGAAGACATGGACAGCATCATGGAAATCAGTACCTGGGGCGGGCAGCCAGACCCCTACTCCAAACTGGACCCTAAGGTGATAAGGTGGAGGTGGAGGTCAGGGTCTGGGTTCCCCATCTACTGTTTCGCCGCATGTTTGTGCTGCATCTTCCCCTCCAGGTGAAAGCGGCCTTCACCCGAGCGTACAACAAGGAGTCCCACCTGACCCCGTACGCCCTGCAGGCGGTGAAGAAGGGCCGGCGCGGAGCCGTGGACGCCGAGTTGGGAGAGGGGGGGCTGGAGCAGGAGTCGCAGGAGCTGGCTGCGGAGGAGGACGAGGACGTGGCCGCTGATGCCATGGTTAAGGTGGGATGGATAGATGTGGCCAATGGGATTTTTTTTTTTTTTGTTGTTGTTGTGTATATTTGCCCTGTATGGGGTTTTATTGATTTATTTTGAGCCTGACTGCATGTGTGACGTGGACCTTTGTTTTTGCAGCAGAAGAAAATGAAGGCAAGTAAGGAAACGACAAAGCAGCAGAAGGCAGGGGATTCTGGGAAGGGCAAGGGGAAGGGAAAGGGCAAGGGCCAAGGCAAGGGCAAGAAGTGAGTACGGGAGCCCGAGGGAGCCAAAAAGCTGCAGTGTGCATAGCTGGACTGTTACACCATGGTGGGGCTGGATAGCGGCAGGGGGTGTGCTGTCCCTCCACCCTGGGCCGCCTGGCCTGAAACTGTACAAATATCCTATACAGATATATGCACTTGGGTGTCTCACCGGTCAGAGCTACGTACTGCCATTATGCTGCAAACGGGAAGTCGGTGGTAATGGACGATGCATAGCTGTGCCCGACTGTAGCAGTCTGTCCTGGGAGGAACATGGCTGCGTTTGTTTTTCCTCCAGCAGTAAATAGCCGGTAGGGTATCCATTGCCCTCCATTATCCTGTATATATGTGTAGTGTATCATTTGTTTAGTAGTAATCTTCACAGATGTGCTGGCATCTGATTTAGTGAATATTTTTCAAGGCAGTAATTTTGCATTCCTGAACTCCCAGACTTTGTGTCTGTCATTTTCTTACACTTGACTTTTTATATATTGAGAAGTGCTACTGGAAATAAAGAATGAATAAGCTTTGTGTGTCATTTGTCTGAGTACAGCCTATCCCAGAGGCTACGGGTGCAAGGCGCCGACCGGCGGGGGTGGGCACGCATGCATGCACGCACACTTTTTGGACTGCGATGGGGGAACTGGACTCCCTGGAGGAAAACCCCACATGCAAGTGCCACACATACAGAGCCATGACATACAGTGGAGACGTGAACCCAGGTCTCTGTGTGAGGCGACAGTGCTAACCACCCCCCACCTTTCCACCCCCTATTGTCAGCCAAGGAATTTAAACCAGCCTCCATCCTCTGACAGGCAGTGTGTCCTAATCGACAAAGCAGTTTGGAGCCACATTAATAATCTCAGGGCAAAGGTACAAGCATAGATTAATAATGGACTCTTAGAAAAGTGATTTATACATAAAACTTTATATAGCTTTTCAAGCAGAAAAAATACATAAGCAAAGGGTATTTTACTGTGTTTAAAGCTTAAGGATCTGGAAACCTCTGCATTGTTCATCTTCTTACTCACCCAGGGATTGACACAGGCTGCATCTCATATCACGGTAAATGACAAACTAGGGCCTGAACTTTACATATGGTCCCTCGGGTATCGGGCTGCAGAAAGGGCATCCCTTCCTGGGGTAAAGGATGCTAATTGGTCACTGCTCAGTCCCCCACCCTTGGGGTCAGGGTTCGAGCTCCTCCGGCTGCAGGTAAGTAGAGCAGTTGGAGGTCTTCTGTACCTGGGAGGGGCTCAGGGGCTCTGAGCACATGGGGCATGACGACTCGATCTCCAGCAGCCTGGGGAGAGCACAGGGTTAGGGATAAGCTTGAATTACACTTCTGCGTCTAGCCTGTGCCATTGTGCGCATTTGTATTTGTGCTTCGGTGTGTCGCTCTACGATTACACTGTCAAGGTGATACATAGTTTTCGATGTTGCATTTATTGTCTTCCCACATTAAATTCTTGAATCTCACAATTGAAACAAAAAAAAAACATTTAAAGTATCCATTTGTCGATTGCCGGTTACATTTGTGCCGCTCTGAACTTCCTATAGACAGATTTGGAAAAAAGCCAAGCTGCTACAAAGTCACTTTTTATGCATCTTCTAAAGTTTGTGTCTGTTCTACTTTTAACTTTTTTTTTAGTCTTGCGAAGTACGAATAAACTTAATGGAGGTAAGTGAAATTGGCGCCGTCATCCCGAGCGTTTTGTAGATCTGCTCGATGCCCAGGGTGGGTTATTTAATGCTAGATATAGAAAACACTCTAGTGTTAATCAGTGATATAAGTAGACCTAGGATGTTCTCCTCCTCCGCTTCCATAAAAAGAAAAACGAATGCTACCAAGCAGACCAATCACAGTTCTTGAAATCTGAGTCACCGTGACGTGTGTTTACACTTCCGGGGAGGTGCAGGTCAGGCTATGATGTATGTGTTTGCATAGGGTCCACAGCTACGCAGTCGATTTAATGCGGAGGTACAAAACAGCCTTTAGGGTTAACATGTATTCCAACTTAAGGCAATCAAGTACTGTGCAGAAGTATTGGGCAGTCAAGTAAAATGCTTATGAGATCTCCATGTTAATGTACAATGCTTATGAGATCTCCATGTTAATGTAAAATGATATCACTTCTATCAAAGTGTGCCCCCCATATCAAAACCTCTCCTAAAGACACCTCAGTATTTGCAGCAACCATCCAACACACCCATGTGCTTGTTGGCTTGACCACTATCGTGCCTAACATGGATAATCAATACCTCAGTGATTTAAGGGAACTCATGGAAAGGCTGAGGTGTCCCTGAAAGTGGTTTGGGAACTGAAGCCGTGCTGTTCTAGTCATCCAGTAAGATACCAGTAACTTTTTGGAGAACAGAAGAAATTCTTTATTATTTACCTGTTAATCTGTGTTTTCTTTAGAACAAATAAGCACTTAGTACCCAGCTAAATAGCTGTAAACATTTTCTTTGACTGCTTAAGACTCTTGCACAGTACTGACCCTGCTGAGCAGGGCAGAGGAAGCTACCATTGGCCTGGGATACTCACACCAGAAGCTGGGAGTACAGGGCAGGGAAGCTGCAGTGGGGACAGGCTGACCAATCCTCCTTCACCATGTGGCGACCCTGTTGGTGGGCGGGGCCATAGACACCATGTGACTGAGGGAGCGTACCAAAGGCACACGTGCGGATGGACGCTCCGCTGCTGCCCAAAGCTGCAGACTCACCGTGGCGACGCAGTAAGGCAGGTTGTTCTTGCAGCTGGGGCAGACAAGCTCGCACTCTGGCAGTTGGAAGCCACAGTAGGGGCAGGGCGTGGTCTCCTCCTCCAGCTCTGAGGTGTCCGGCCGCCTGCGGGGGCAGTACGAGACGGGGGCTGATGAGTGGCCCCGGCCTGGCACGGCGGGGAGGGGGGTCAGCCACCCCGCCCGACTCACCGGACCATAGCCTCGATCTTCTTCCTGTATTTGAGGTCGATCTTGCTGCGGTACTCGGGCCTCATCAGCATGGCGGCAAAGCCGAAAGACGACTTCCGGAGGCCAGCGCGGTGGCACTCGATCACCGCCGACGTCAGAATGGGCACCACGTCTGGGGGTAGCGATGGGAGGGGGGCGGGGTCAGCCGGCTGTGGGGGGCGTTTCCCCAGAACAGCGAGAGGCTGGTTACTCACGCGAGGGAAACTTGCTAATGTTGTTGGAGACTCTAATAAGCATGCGTGCCCCCTTTAAGTGGTCGCCTCTCTTTACATGGATCTGCGGTTCAAACAGGCAAGAACATATTAAACATGTTTAATCAATAAGCCAATTACAGCTGGTCACATGACTGGGGTCAGCGTGAGGTCAAACAACCTTAACTAGAATGTAGCTATGCAGGATCATGAGGTTTGTGGCCATTTCTGCTGGGATCTTGATCTTCTGGCTGTGGAGCTCCATGTACATGCTGAAGAGGACATCGTGGGCATTCCGGTAGTTTCCTAAAAGCAAAGGGGCCGTGTTTGTTTACTAGGGTATTCAGGGTAAAGGTTTTGCATGCGTTGGGGGATTCTGGGAAAACTGCTTGGAAAAAAATACTGACTTTATGGTAGAAGTTTAGTTTCCTGCGCTGACAAATGAAGCCATAGTATAGACCTTAAAGACATAATGAGGCTTAAGAACTTAAAGGGAGCCACACCCCAGCACCAGGGACAGACCTGCAGACTGCTCCTCGCGGGCGATGATGATGGCTGTCCGGGCTGCCTCGCGGTACTGCTTCAGGGCCATGTAGAGCCGGAACAGGTACTTGGCGTCCTGACGGGATGGGATCACATGGGCCGATGCTGACCTTCTGACCTAATGTCTCAGTGTGCCGTTAAGATTTAATGGCAGTGCCCCGGATCACTGTGTTTCGGTTACTGAAACCAGGTTACCAGAACCTGTCCTCTCATGAAGTAATGATGAATGGTTAGAAATGTAACTAGTGCTCCAACTACTGAATAATTTCATATTCGGCTGAAGTTTTTTGTTATATAGCTTTTGCCAGTACCAACGTTTTGAAAATGCTCTCATACTTCAGTCCCTTTTTAGCGCTCTTGAGCAGTGCTACGAGGACCGCCCACTTTTCTGTTTTCTTACTCGTGTGTTACTTGCACACTACTTGTGAGAAGTGTCATACATAAATTGTGCATAAATTTTGATTATTACCCAGTAATTCGTTTTTCTTTGGGACTTTTCTTCTCATCTTTTTATATATGAAATTTCTTGAATGTTTGCCGCAGCACTAAACATCACTTTCACAAGGCATACAGATATTCTGCTGCTTCATGGAGGAATGCATGTGATTTTACCATAGCGGTTGGCTGAGACCTGCTGTCTGGTTCTCTCTAAGGTCCACCTTAAAGTCTCTGACCGATAGGACCATCATTCATGAGTAGTGGGGGGGGTCATTCAGTTGCTTATCACACAGACTAGGGCTGGGTGATATCATACCGATATTATACCGCGCATGAGCAATAATCACCAGGGCTTCAGGAAAAACATTTGGCCAGACGGCAGCTTTTCGGTACGATACGGGTGTTTATTTACGCCCATAATTTGGTAAGCAGATCAGTGGTATGGCTAAAATATTAATGAGATGCGTTTTGTGACACCCAAAAGTTAGTAATCTGTGTAAACTTGGATTTTCTTTATGTTGATTAAATTTGGTTTGCGGGGCACGCCACATAATACTGTTTTGGTATGCTATGGCTTAGTATACTATGGCTTGGTATACTATGGCTTGGTATACTATGGTTTGGTATACTATGGCTTGGTATATTTAAATGCGACATGCACTGAAGTGGCGGTGAAGAAAGGAACAGCTCTAACATCTTTTAAAAGAGGAGATCTTGTGGATAAACAAGGTAGAAAAGTCAATGGTTGTGTTGCGGTACTTTTTGCAGTTTAAAGTCTGACACGTTAATTAAATATAAGGATATGCCGAATTTATACTGATTATTAACTTTTCATAAAATGCCTGATTAATATTAAACTGCTTAATAAACTGTGGGTGTAAAACATCCATTTAGTACCGAAAAAATGGTGGCTTGACGAATGTCTTGCCTGTCATCTGAAGCCCTGGTGATTATTGCGCATGAGCAATACAATACTGATTTGAAATCAGCCAGCCCTAATACAGACTAACCTCATGAATCCACAACAGGGCCACCACACTCAAACCTGGCCCCCCTGAACCAACAGCGGGAGGCTAAGCAAGCGACCAAATCAGAGATCATCACGTGCTGGATCAATCTGACCAACAGGGGGCAGCATCAGATGACTACTCACAGTGAGAGACTACCCAGGCACCAAAAGGCGATGGGAGACCAGAGCAGCAGGTGCAAACAGATGGAAAACAAAAAGAGAGTCGCAGCAGATGAAAACCCAAAATGGAAAGTAGAATTATAACCAGAAAAGGAGATGATGAAAAGAGTAGCAGACGGCACCAACATAGCGATGGATTTCTGAGGACTATGCCGGTGGGCGGGGCATAAGTGGGCGGGGCATGTGTGGGC